CAACATGGTGGAAGTCTTCCCTATTTATACTTTTTTCAGCTCTTTGTCTCCCAAATTTGGAACGAGACTTCCAGGCCTTCTGAGGAAGAAGGCCTGCATGCTGGGACAGGGCCGTGAGACCGTATCTCAAGGCCTGGCCTGGTGCCAGCAGTGACAGCTCTGTCTGGGGCATAGTTTACGGCCTCTCTGGAGTGGGGTGACACGCCAGGATCTGGCGCTTAGGGCAAAGGGGACGGTCCAATCCATGCTCATAGCATCCAAACTGCTGCTCTGTGTGGAGACTCAGTCTCTCCCAGCTCTGCCATGTTGAAGGCTCTGGGAACACTGCCTGGTCTGTTCTCACACGGGCAGGGTTCGGGGGGGCAACTGCTAAGTCACCAAGCCGGTCTCCTGGTAACGGGGACCCAAAATGACTTCAGAACTGGGCACAGCCATGTCGATACCACAAGCTCAGCTCAAGGCCCGGTGCCCTCTGGACTCCCTGAGGCCATCCCCGCAGCCTGACCCCTCGGGAGGAGAGCAGGTCCCAGCCAGGTCTCCATAGGCTGCTCTTCCGTAGACACCAAGCACTTTTCATTTACGTTGATAACATTTTGCACAAGTCCCGGGAGGATGAAGGAAACTACATCCTAAAGAACGTGAGCTGTAACCGTTTCTCTGAAAAGTCCAAGGAATTCCACGTTGCAGCTCTAAGTGACCTAATTCTGTGCTTAAACAAATAGTTTCCTATTACAAAAGTTTTGAAAGGTTGCAGAAACACTGAGGCCAAATAATTTTTCAACTATGATATGTACATTTTTTCCCCTCAGCGCTACAAAACTAACAGTTAAGGATCCTCCATTTCTCATAGAGCTTAGGGATTCTTTTGGTTCATTTTAAGCCACATCTTTCATATTCGGAATTTCCTGGTTTACTTGGGACATAGTTTTCAGAAGTCTGAACAAACAGTTCACCTAATGATTCTGAAATGTGTGCCTGTGGAGAGAACTGCTTGCCTAGGAGATCCTTCTTCAATAATTCAGATATTTTAAATCATGTCCGAAGCAATTTTTCCAAAAATCTAATAAGTTATAAAACTAGAAATATAATCGAGTCTCCACAAAGAGTTCCAATCCTCCGTGAAAACAGACCTTGCATTCTTAATCCCTTGTCCAAAAAGAAAATTTGGACCAAGTATTGACGTTTTCCACCAAGAAAGCCACAGAGCTGCAAATGGTTCTCATTTACGCCACTCCTGGGACGTACAGCTCAAATAAAAAATTTCCTGAATGCCCCACATTTCAGATGCCATTTGGAATGCTGGGGACTCATAATATTATGCAGGACACAGGACGATCTCCTCTCACCAAGTCCAAGCTTCTGGAATGCGACCCCCAGGAGGCTGCCCCCACCAATGGGGAGGCTGGCCGATGGCAGCCAAGGGAACAGTTGGGACCCAACTGTTCTGCTCTCTGCCCCCAGGGCGGATGCGAATTTGAGCCCTGAGAGATCTGCTGCTTGAGCTACTGTTCAGGTAGGAAAAACGCTACCCTGGGTGAGCGAACACAGACCCACATTTTGCTCCTCAGCAAGAGATGTGATCATAGTGCACGCTCCTCCCTCTGAGGTAAAACGGGGTTATGAGGAATTAAGGCCGTCATCACTTCCGCACCAAAGATGCTGCTGGGGCCTCTGAACAGACGCAGATTCTAACTGGGTTCAAGCATGAAGCTTCCTGGAGCCTCTGGCTGGTTTGTGGTCCATTCTGGTCCCGCCCACCTCACCCCCGTCAGGTTCCACAGTCACCTCTTAGAGCACTGACGGTGGGAGAGTCGGCTTCTGCAGACCCCTGTTTCTTCCAAGAAAAGAAACACCACTGATATAGAGGAAGAAAAGCACTACCGGGTGCACTGAACAGACCTGGGCACCGTGTCGGTCTTGAAAACCATAGTTACTCACAAAGAGAGACCTGCCAGGGCCCGGTCTCAGTCGGTCTCAGTGGCTCAGTTGGTTGGAGCATCATCCCATACATCAAAAGTTTGTGGGTTCGATTCCCTCTCAGGGCACATATCTAGGATGGGGATTTGATTCCCCAGTCAGGGCATGTGCTGGAGGCAAGTGATGGATGTTTCTCTCACATCAATTTTTCTCTCACTCCCTTCCTCTCTTTCTAAAATCAATGAGTATATCCTTGGGTGAGGATTTAAAAATAATATTTTTTTCTTAAGAGAGAGAGAGAGACCTGTGGGATAACAAGAGCATAGAGGGGGCAACTGTGGGAAATAAAAGACGGAGACAAACACGCACTGACAGAGCATCCCTTTCGCTAAAGGGGTCGCTCGCTCTAAGGAAAACGCAGGAGGGGAGCAAGGATGGCCTGCAGGACTCTCACGCAAAGCCCAAAGCTCAGCACGGACACCCGGAAAGACAGGGGCAATGGAGAGAGGCACTGATGCTACAGAGAAAAACAGCAAAAAACAAACAAGTAACAAAAAAACAGGAACGAGGAAAAAATTCCTCAACTAAAGGAACTCGAGGAAAGCTTAAAATCATTGCCTAAGCATAAGAAGAAAAGGATCTAATTTGAGCCCTAACCAGTTTGGCTCAGTGGATAGAGCGTCGCCTGCAGACTGAAGGGTCCCAGGTTCGATTCCGGTCAAGGGTATGTACCTTGGTTGCGGGCACATCCTCAGTAGGAGGTGTGCAGGAGGCAGCTGATCCATGTTTCTCTCCCATCAATGTTTCTAACTCTCTATTCCTCTCCCTCCCTCTCTGTAAAAAAATCAATAAAACATATATATATCTTTAAAAAGAATCTAATTTGGAAAGAATAACATTATCTAAAACCCAATAATAAAAAACCTACAAAACAACAGGGTAGCCAAGTAAATGTCATAGCTCTGTAGGCAGCACTGAAATCAGTAATATTTACAAAGAAAACCAGACGGAGTCTATAAATTAAAATTATGACAGAACTGAGACCTCATGAGATGAGTTTGCCTCAGGAAACTACAAAAACAGATAAGATACCTGAAAAGAATGAATGTCTCCACATTAAAAAAAGATCCGTCTAAATCGGTGGCTGGATCAACTGGATTAATGTGTGTCATAAATAATTTTAAAAAGTTGTTTGAATATATCCGGCTGCCAAAAGATCCCATTCTCCCCTCTAGGAAGAGCCATCTCTCATTTTTCCATAGAAAAAGAGATAGTAATCACACTGGGTATCCGACACTCATTTGTACTGAAAAAATGTGGACAGCCAATGACATCAGGAAATGAAATTTCTCCAGGACTGTGGCTTCTGGTAAATGTACAACCTAATTCTGTGCTTTCTGCCTCTTGCCACTGTTGGTTTCATACTCACAACCAGTTGACATCAGCATGATGCTCAGCCAATATTAAACTCTCAGAAATTTTATGAATAAATGACATGATGTGTGTGAAGCTTCTAGAACATCACATACAGTAAATACTCAACGGAATGTTGGCTCCATTACTCTTTTCCCTTTTCTGCAGTTTAAGATCCAGGGGCAGGGTTTTCACGTGTGATCAGTTTCTCAGCAGAATATTTCTTTACTAGAGGCCCGGTGCACGAAATTCATACACAGGGGCGGGGCAGGATGTCCCTCAGGCCAGCATGCACCCTCTCAGGACCTCTCAGGAGATGTCCGAATGCGGGTTTAGGCCCAATCCGGCAGTCGGACATCCCTCTCACAATCTTGGACAACTGGCTCCTAATCGTTCACATGCCTGCCTGCCTGGTCACCCCTAACTGCCCCCCCACCAGCCTAATGGCCCCCAATTTTCCCCCCTGCTGGCCTGGTCGTCCCCAATGGCACCCCCGGCCACCAGCCTGGTCGCCCCACACAGCCTGCTGTTCAGTTGTTTGGTCATCCTTCACTAACCCCCTTGCCGGCCTGGTCGTAGGCAGCCATCTTGTGAGGGCGTGAGGGTTAATTTGCATATTACCTCTTTATTATATAGGATTCTCTTTATCACCTAAGTCCAACTCACAGTTTGCACCGGAGCCTAACATTATAAGCAGCGCTATGCTAGAAGACAGGAACACAAACTTCAAAAGCCATGGCTCCCTCCTAGGACCATTATTTTACGTGTCAACTTGCTGGGCTCCGGGGTGCCCAGGAAGTTGTCCACACATTCCCTGGGGTGTTTTGCATGAGCCTGACACCGAAGCAGATGGAGGTGAATAATGGTGAGTAACGCAGACTGCCCTCCACGGTGTGGGTGGGCCTCATCCAATCCATTAACAGCCTGAGTGGAACAAAGGGTGCTCCTCCCCCAAGTAAGGAGAATTCTCCCGCCTCATGACCTTCCACCTGGGACACCTGCCCTTCCGGTCCCACAGCCGATGACGAGACGTCGGCTCCCCCTGGTTTCGGAGCAGCCTGTGGCCTCTGGACTCAAGTGGGCCATGGGCTCTGCAGGTGTGGGTCTTGCCAGCCTCTTTCCCCCACAAGCTAGTTCCTTATAACAAATCTCTGTGCCTCTCTGTTCCTAAGTAGGCAGGTGGGAAGTTAGGTAGACAGACAGACAGATATACACCCTCCTGGCTGCTTCTCTGGAGAGCCCTGGCTCCCACACTCTCCTAAGAAGTTCAAAGCTGTGGGATGCTCCTGAGAACACTTCCTCCAGAGAGCCTCGCCCAAAGATCAACGGACCATCGCGAGAGGAGCCAAACGCGCGAGCAAATTAAAAACCGATCGATAAACATCCACGGGATGAATCAGCAGCGCTGGACAGCAGGAGCCGCCAAGACAGTATCAGAGCATGTAGCTCATGCCCTCCGGGTTCTCAGGACGCCGGGTCTGGGCCAGGTCGCTGCGGCCGCAGCGTGCCCGCTCCTGCACATGCCGGTGAGCTGCGATGGCTCTGCTTTTGCGAGTTCCTGACTGTTGATAAAGCAGGTCACGGGGGAATCAGCTGAGCACACGGAGCCCCGTTACTAAGGAGTTGAGCCCCTCGCTGAGCACCATACGAATGAGAGGCAACAAGCTCACCTGAATGGCAGCCAAGTTCTTCTGCTCCTGCGACGGGGCCTCGTGCACGAAGCGCAGCCAGTTGGAGTGGCGCGGGTTGGTGGCGTCCAGAACGTACAGGACCTCCCCCTGGCTCCCACGGACCTGCAACACAAAGGCCGAGGTCCCGGAGGTCAGCATCAGGGCTCTGAAGCCACTGGGGTCGGAACACGGCGGTGTACCCTAAGTGTACCCCTTGCCTGTTGGCAGGCATTGAACAGACGCCGGTTAACACCCCTGCTTCCCCGGAAACACGCAAACCATCCGGGCCCGCTGCTCCGCCTGGCAGGCCCCCGGTGACTCACAGTGTCATCCGCTCTCAGGAACCCCACACCGGCCGCTCTCCTCCAGTCGAGATGATCGATTCCTCGGTTTATCTTTTTTTAAAATACATTTTATTGATGTAAGGGAGGAAGGGAGAGGTAGCGAGAGATAGAAACATCAATGATGAGAGAGACTCACAGATCAGCTGCCTCCTGCACGCCCCCTACTGGGGATGGAGCCTGCAACCCGGGCCTGTGCCCTGACCGGGAATCGAACCGTGACCTCCTGGTTCATAGGTCGATGCTCTACCACTGAGCCCCGCCGGTGGGCTGGTAGGTTTATCTCAGTAGGTGTGTCACAATTGCAGTTGTGAAGGGAGAACTATAACTGCAGCCCACCCCTGTGCTCCACGGAAGAGGGGGTACTGCTGGGCTCCCCAGTTGGCAGATGGGGAGCTGGAAGGACCCTTTTGATTGCTCTCCACACTTGCTTACTGGATCCTTTTCCCGTGCAGAGGTTGCTGGCCTCGCCAGTGGACCCCACACCTGCCAGCCATCATGTCCCCTGTTAACCAGCGGTGAACAAGCTGGGTCCACTCTGTCTTTCCCTGCCTGGTTCGTGGCTTGCTGAGGACAGTGGGCTGGTTTTCGGTTTCATGCCCTGAGCCCTCCTCATCAGACCAACTCGGCTTTCCATTGGCGGGCGGGGTACCTGCCAAAGGAGCAGGTGCTCCACTGAACATTCTGGAATCCAGGTTGTTCAAATCTAGCTTCTCCAAGACCTGGCATTGCAGGCTCTGGGCACTTGCTCTGCTTCATAAAACACCCACCAATCTGTCCCCTGCGCACTTCGTGTTGCCATGGGAGCCGCATCCAGGGAGGAGGGACAAGGAGTGAGTGACCAGCCCTCAGACCCAGCGCCAGGCAGCAGAGCGTTACTAAGTTCATCTTGGCAGACTTGGGCGGGAAAAGCACGTTCCAGAGTCTTCTGATCCTACTGTATCAGATAAAGCAAAACCAGCCAACGAACTTCTCTTCATGATACATCTGGACAATCATTCATCATCCGACAAATATGTGAGTCTCTTGCTTATGGCCGGGACACTCTCCACGAACGAGGCCCCACAGCGGAGGAACCAGCACAGACCACAGCCCCAGGGGAGGGACACGCTCCACGCTCCACAGAGCAGGAGCAGCAGAGTGAGGGCTGAGGGCTCGTCGGAGCAGGTGACCCGGGACGGCTCTGAAGGAAGGACGCTCCAGTGGAGGGCGGGGGAAGGGGCCAGGCAGGGAGCAGAGGGACGAGGCAGGTGGAAAGGCCCTGTTCTGGGAACGGCAATGAGGCCCCGCTGGAACAGAAGGGGCGCGGAGAAAGTGGTGGGCGCTGAGATCAGACGGACGGAGATCAGACCGACGGGCCAAGGTCAGACCCTGCACGGCCACAGGCCGTCCTGAGGCCACTCCAGCCGTTCGATTACCTGCTCACGGGACTGCCCTGTCTCTGCTCCTGGGAATGTCTGAGACGTCGGGAGAGAATCTGGGCCAGCCTTTCTCCCTCCAGAGAAACCACATCCACGCCCCCCAGATGGACAGCTGTGACTCCAGTCTCTCTTTATCTTTTTCATCTGATTCCGAACCCTGGGGCAACAGTGGGGCATTTTTAAAGTCTCACAAACAAAGAAGACAGAGCTCCTCTCGGGTCCCGTCCCAGCCTCTAACCAGCCTTTGCAGCCTATTAAGGTTCACCTGCAAAGCACCGTCTTCTCGAATTTGAATTTTCACGGGAATGAAACATGTTGGCTACTGTCCGGCTTAGGGCGCAGCCTGCAATGCAGCCACATTCTCGTCCTGCCGTCAACCACCCGATCCCAGACTCTGTCTGATGGGCACCGTCTTCCCCGCCAGCGCGTCGGCTACAGCGGGAGGCAGACGGATGAGGCCCCACGGGAGATGGAGCCCTCGTGCTCGCACGGCGCACAGCTCGCTGTGACTGTGCCGCTTTATGGCAACGACGCCATCACCGCCCGGGAACGTGGCTGTCCTGCCTGTTAGATGCCGGCGTCCCTGGTCCAGGGTCCGGGGAAGTGCTCCCTGGGGCTGTCCCTCTCCGGCCGCGATGACCAGGACTGAACACGGTCACCGCTGGCCTCCCTGCCCAGCAAGGACAGAGGACATCACCACAGACTCACCTCAGGAAGAGGACAGACACCCTGACAGGTAAGCGAACGGGAAAAAGTGGAAATAGGTCATCAATACAAGTTTTCGTAATTGTCGGCCTTGTCGTTGTGAAATTGGGTCCACTGTAGACCAGGGAGCACATTTAGTGTTTGGGTGGCTGGTTGTCCCAGGGCAGGGCTGCAATGTCACGGACGTTATTTCCCTTCAGTGATTCCGAAGGCCTGAGATGTCTCACTCGCTGCATGCAGGCCACCAGGCTCCCGGGGCAAAGCCAACGGGACAGACATGTCCCGACGTGATTGAACGTAACCGAGAGAACTCGATTCCACGAGCAGTAAAATGAATGGCAGGGACACACACTCAGTTCCCCGCACACGCACGGACGCCCTCAGCGAGGAACCACAGAATGTGAGGCTGTGACTCACTGATAACAGCAAGGCTGTGTGTCCACGAGTAGTGCGATGTCTTCTGAGTGTAAAATGTCATATTTTCTCACTTAAATTTCAGGCGCTCTTTTGCCGTTGGGTGTAACGAGGCAGAAGCCTCTGCCGGATGCTGAGTTAACCAGAACTCAGAGTATCTTCGGGAGCACGGGTCACCCAGGGGGTCAGGCAACCGATTCTGACGGAAGCCAGAGGGGTGCGTCCACACACCCGCAAGCTCACCCTTAGGGAACGGCCGTCATCTGTCATCGCTAAGCAAAGGGCATGATTCTTTCCCTGCTGATTTTTCAAAGGATTCTGGCTAAGTCTTGCTTTGATTCTTATACACACACACACACACACACACACACACACACACACGTACGATACTGGACCCTCCTTAAAATAAAGCAGGACACGTGGCAGAATCAGATGCGGCTATTACACAGCCTTGTTTGTGGAGCAAATGAAAAAATCATTACATGTTTTATTGCATTTCAGAATCTATTTACAACTGCCTAGTCATTCCGAGTTTGGATTTTCCTTTCAAATGAAAGCCCTGTAAAAAAAATTAATAATAATAGAGAGGGATATTATATTGGAAGAATGGTAGTAGAACTGTAAAAAAACCAAAATAAATTATGCCATTGCTGTTCTTTAACATTCATTCAAC